AAAATCAATAAAATATATTTAAATAAATAAATAAATAAACAAATAAATAAAAGAAAAACAGATAACCCTCCCAAGCTGCAATTAAATCCTCTGTAAAAGGAGGGCGAAGGGTCATCCCTCGGCCTGTCCGAAATGAACTCATCTTCCTCCTCTCCACCTCCTGTAAAGGCACCACCACACCACTGACCAAGCACCTCAGCCCGGCCGACAGCACGTCCCTGATACTACTGCCTCATCACCGTGAGCTGGTCCTTGACCTAAGCACTCTGTGGGTAATGTTCTCATTTGCTCTTTATACAAACCTTTCAGAGAAGAACAAGCACGTTTTATAGATGAGAACACGGAGCATCAGAAAGCGGAATGACTTGCCCCGGCCGACACAGCTGGGATGTCCCATCAGTGCTCTTAACCCCATTATCGTGCCGCCTCCTCTTGCCACCATCTCATCTGGGGATGCCGTCAACTCCCTGGTGACCCCCAACATTTAAGAGAGCAAAGGATAGCCCTGGCCGGTGTAGCTCAGTGGATAGAGTGTCAGCCTGCGGACTGAAGGGTCCTGGGTTCGATTCCCGGTCAGGTGACAGGCCCAGGTTGCAGGCTCGATCCCTAGTAGGGGGTGTGCAGGAGGCAGCCGATCCATGATTCCCTCTCATCATTGATGTTTCTCTCTCTCTCCCTCTCCCTTCCTCTCTGAGATCAATTGAAAAAAAAAAAAAGAGCAGAGCCTACATTTCATGGAGCTCTCGGGTCAGGGAGCATCCTCCCTCTGCTATCTCTCTCCTGGCTGTCACCACAGCCCATCGAGGTGGGCAGCACCCCCTCCCGTACCCTAACAAATCAGTCACCAACCACCATCGGGGGAGCCCACAGCTGGTGGGAGTGGAGCCAGGGAAGCCCTGAGCTGGAGGCTGAGTCCTGGGACCAGTCCCTGCCCTTCCCTCCAGGCCGTGTCCTCCTCGCAGACCCAGTGAGAAAAGAGGTCCCTACCTCAGGGGTGGCTGTGGCTGCAGCCCAGGAAGGCCCCCCGCGGGCAAAGGCGATGCAGACGATCGATCGGGAGCGGCGCCTGGGGGGGAGAGGGGGGCACAGCGTGATCTTCGATGACAGCAGGCACCCGAGGAGCAAGCGACTCTCTCCGATTCCTGTTAGAAACGGCCGACTGCTCCCAGGAGCGTCTGACACCCCTCGTTGACCATCTGTGAACCCTGACGTTCCTCGCTTCACGAAGGGACTCTATCGCAGAGCTTGAGACAGGGAGACCTGGCCGGAATCATGAACAAGGACCTGTCTTCACTTTATATTAACTTATCATAACCTTCTGCACATGACAAGTGAACCTAGTTTTACGTTTATGACAGGCTTAAAGGTTTCAAGCAAATTTAAATTTTAAAAGTGGCTCGATGCAGCCCTGACAGGGTGGCTCAGTGGGTGGAGCGCCCTCCCGGGCCCCCCCAAGGGTTACGGGTTCGATTCCCGTCCATCCAAGTTGCGGTTAGAGGCACCCCTGCCCCACGTCGGGGTGCCTATGGGCGGCAACTCACCCATGTTTCCTTCTCACGTCGATGCTTCTCTCTCTCTCTAAATCAATACAACATATTTTTCAAGCGACTCCATTAAGAACCTTTAGGAAACGGTCCTACATGGTGTAAGCTGATTTTGGCCAAAAGACCTGAAAGGCTTCCGTGTGAGCAACCACGACTGGGACCCAGAAAAGCGTGTCTTTCACAAACTTGAGCGCCCGGTACATGGGCGCTGTTTTCACCACCGCCTTCGTCCTCGTCGTCTAAAAAGGCTGCAACGTGGGACCTGGGACGCTGCAGCCAGCATTGCCCACGAGAGGACACGGAGCGCGCAGCGGCCCCGAGGACGGAGAACCCGG